AGAATTTGGGATCAACTGAAATCCACTAACTTCTTCCCTAGCTGTGTGTTTTTGCTGAGGCTGCTCTCCAAACACTTCAGTTTTCTGACATCATTCAGCAAACATTATGAACCTGCCTAGTTGGGTAGCCAAGCATGTATTGGGATATGTAGATGACAGGAGATAATCAAATACAATTTAACATTACTTTAAAGCACTTTAGATCTAATCTAACTATTATGTAGTGCTAAAACCATGCCTGTCCGAAGCAGCCAGTTTGTGGAACTTAATAATGTTATTGGTCTGTAATGAAAAAACTAGCACCAGATGAACGTCCCTGCTTTCCTTCGCTTTGTGAAAGTGTCTTATTGTGAGAAGAACATTGAGAAGCTGAACTAAATGGGTATTAGTGATGTAATTGTTTTCCCTCCTCCTAGACCAGAAACACCCTTGGCAGATCAAATGCTGGTCCCATAGAGTATACCTAAGTAGTTTCTTTTTTTTTTTTTTTTGAGAACCAGCCTCTTACCTGCCCCAGGATGGAGTGCAGGCGTTCATCTCGGCTCACTGCAAGCTCTACCTCCCTGGATCACGCCATCTTCTGTCTCAACCTCAAGTAGCTGGGACTACAGGCGTGTGCCACCACACCCGGTCGATTTTTTTTGTATTTTAGAAGAGACAGGTTTCAACCATATTAGCCATGATGTCTTGATCTCCTGACCTCATGATCGCAATACCGCCGCTCGGCCAGGCTCACTGCAACCTCTGCCTGCCGGGCTCCAGCTATTCGCCTGCATCAGCCTCTGGTAATTTCTATTTCAATAAATAAATCAACCTCCTAACTGGCATCTAAAATATATGCAAATTAAATACCTGCATAAGATGTGAGAAAGGAACCATTTAAAGTTGTACAGTTTTGAATTGGTAACAACAAAGGGTCTCCTATAACCCTTTAGTGCTTAAAATAAGACTAAACGAATTTAATCAGTCACTGTTTTTCCCATGTTTAAAGACTCAACAAAAGAAGTCATGTTCCTAGCTGTATGTAGTTCAGAGATTCACATTGGAGGTAGCAAGGGATGATTAAGAATAAAAAAGAGTTCTAAAACATGATCTATGTTTTGAAGAATTTTTCAACTTGGAAGGATATAAACATTATGGCAGATAAAACTTTTTTCTGTTTGCTTATGTGTAGTTTAAACTTTTATCTACAATGAACACTTTGTTAATGACAAAAAAATCAGGAATGCTTATAGACTCTCTTAATAAAATGCCAAAATTCTTGTGAAGTAATGTTAAACTTAAAAAGCAATAGACAGGCCGGGCACAGTGGCTCATGCCTGTAATCCCAGCACTTTGGGAGGGCGAGGCAGGCAGATCACTTGAGGTCAGGAGTTCAAGACTACCCTGGCCAACATGGTAAAACCCTGTCTCTACTAAAAATACAAAAACTAGTCGGGTGTGGTGGTGGGCGCCTGTAATCCCAGCTACTTGGGAGGCTGGGGCACAAGAATCCCCTTGAACCCAGGAGGCAGAGGCGTTACAGTGAACTGAGATCAAACCACTAACACGTCCAGCCTGGGTGACAGAGTGAGACTCTGTCTCAAAAAAAAAAACATAAAATAATAAATACATAAAAGGCAAATATACTATACATGAAACTCTATGTAACTGTCTGTTCAAGCATTAGTACATATTACACTTAAAAGATAAATACTAATTATTTTTTTAAAAAGCAACATAAGGCTGGGCACAAGTGCACACACCTAATCATCCTAGCACTTTGGGAGGCCAAGACGGATGGATTGCCTGAGCTCAGGAGTTCAAGACCAGCCTGGGCAGCATGGTGAAACCTCATCTACTCCAAAATACAAAAAAATCAGCCGGGCGTGGTGGCGGGTACCTGTACTCCCAGCTACTCAGGAGGCTGACGCAGAAGAACTGCTTGAACCAGGAAAGCAGAGGTTGCAGTGAGCTGAAGACGGTGGCCACTGCCGCACCAGTCTGGGCAACAAAGTGAAACTCGTCTCAAAAAAAAAAAAAAAAAAAAAGCACATAAAAAATTACAAATAACAGTATTACAGAAAAAGACTAGCAAAAAGTTGTTTTAGGATAGTATAACTATGGATAACCACTCCTTCTCTACAACTTCACCAGATTTTACAATTTTTTCTTCAGAGAAAGTGATATTACTTTTATTATGAAACAACAGTTATGATTTTTCTTTTTAATTGTAAGAAAGAAAGAATATGTCCAATCAAATATGCAAACTAGCAATATCTAGGTTATATGTCAGAAGAAAAAAGTATATTTTCTTCTAACAAATTTGGTGGTACCTGAAATCATCGTAAAAAGTCTACCCCATTCTAATATTCTTTAAAAACTATAAATTCTACTTCAATATAATTGTAATTATAGTCAAACATTCTATTAGCACCGTCATGTTCACTGAATTCTGAATTATTAGATTTTAGAATCTAACCTACCTTTGTAAGTTGGCTTTAAAATGAGGAAATACTTATGGGATTAATTCAAAAGTATTACTGGATAATCTGAAAATAAGAATATAGAGCCCTAAATAACCTATGACATGTTGTTCTTTGCCCTCTGCAACATAGTGACTTTTTAGAAGCTAAGTGTTTGGTAAGCTCTATAACACAAGAACTCAAAATAGATGCACATAATAATTCAAAACTCTTTTAATGTCTATGATCGATTTGTCAAAGATCATGTTTAACAGCCAAAGGCTACATTAAATAAGTCCAGCTGTTAATTGTGATTATCTAAAATTGGGCTTTAAAAATGGACTTAAATATAAATAAAATGAGACATTATAAAGCAACTTTGAAGGAAAAAAATTAAAATACTAATGGCAGAAGAAACCCGACTTGTAAAGTTTTAGTCAATTTACAGTATGTAATATCAAACATAAAGTCCAGCCAAACTGGCAATAAGTATCTGAAGTTATACTTATAACCCCAAATCTTACGTTATCATTAATCATTAATTTGCATTTCTTTTTCCTTTTTTTGAGACAGAGTCTCGCTCTCGCTCTGTCGCCAGGCTGGAGTGCAACAGCGCAATCTCGGCTCACTGCAACCTCTGCCTGCCGGGCTCCAGCTATTCGCCTGCATCAGCCTCTGGTAATTTCTATTTCAATAAATAAATCAACCTCCTAACTGACATCTAAAATATATGCAAATTAAATACCTGCATAAGATGTGAGAAAGGAACCATTTAAAGTTGTACAGTTTTGAATTGGTAACATTAAAAATTACCTCAATAAATAGAAAGCGGCCGGGCGCGGTGGCTCAAGCCTGTAATCCCAGCACTTTGGGAGGCCGAGACGGGCGGATCACGAGGTCAGGAGATCGAGACCATCCTGGCTAACACGGTGAAACCCCGTCTCTACTAAAAAAATACAAAAAACTAGCCGGACGAGGTGGCGGGCGCCTGTAGTCCCAGCTACTCGGGAGGCTGAGGCAGGAGAATGGCGGGAACCCGGGAGGCGGAGCTTGCAGTGAGCTGAGACCCGGCCACAGCACTCCAGCCTGGGCGACAGAGCGAGACTCCGTCTCAAAAAAAAAAAAATAAAAATAAATAAATAAATAAATAAATAGAAAGCAAAAGGCAATCTGTAATTTTAAAAAGATTAACAAGATCATTCTCTTCATTAATATAATTATATGTTTGAAGACAAAATGGCATAAACATATACAATTGGAACTGACGGACATCATGACCAGATTTCTAGGTCAACATACAGTCTTAGTAAGTTACATTAGAACCTTTTAGAATTAAGTTTGAGTATTCATTGCTCTCTTCTTCTTTAATATAATAAAAGAAATAAAAAGAAAATAAATAATCCTTTTTTACACTCCCATTTGCCCACCTGCTGAAATCTTTCTCTGTCTCCAGCTCTTCTTCTCCATGACCAAGACGCAGTAGGTGGCGCTCATCAATGTCTAATGCCATGATTTTCTCAAACAACTGGTTAAGGGCCTAGAGAATAAAGCAAGAAGGGTGATGACACCTTTAAACGCAGCAAAAACTAGCATTTAGAAAGAATCAAAGTTGAAACACAGAAGGAAATCAGCCTTATATTAGGCCATTTATAATTTAATCAAATAATATTTATATTGATTTCTGATATTGCCATCTATGTCTATTTGGCTGTATGGATAACTAGAAAACATAAAACCACCCACCCATTAAACATCTGCTTTTAATTTATGAAACAAGAAAGGCATTGACTCGGATGCTATTTCTTCTAAGTTGTAACAATTCCTAAAATAAACAACCACACTGAGCTTCATTTCATTCAACAGCATTTCCTTGGGTTGCAGAGAACTGAAAAAGTTTTTGCAGTTGGAGAAAGACAGTAAGAAGGCAGTGAGCGCATAGGTAGAATACATTTAAGAGGACCAGAAGGTGGAAACGTAAATTGCATCTTTTTCAAATCTTAGTCTGAAAGTCTAATGTTCTCAATATAATAAAGAGCAGAGCACTCATTCATTGCAAACTACTTATGAAAGTCATTTAAAAGTCACTACTTTCTATCTATGAAATGTTCATAATTAGGGTTCCCTCGAATCCTAGTATTCATTATCTGAACTTCTGCAGTTACAAGGTTTTACAGAAAGGCAAAAGTTTCATAGTATGGAAAGATTCACTAATTAAGGTATTATTTAAAAATGAGCTGCCATTCAAATATCTCTCCTCACTTATCACTAGTCCAACCCTGCCTGTGAAGTCAACATTCAGTCTTATAAACACCTAGGTTATATAATGTAGATACAGATATCTTTTACCACCAAAATTCCAGCAGTCTGAGCTCTGAAACTGAAGAGATTTAACTAACTTTTCAGAAAAATCCCCCACTATCCAAACTCTTGATACTCATCATCCAAAACTCAGCACCCAACAGAGCAGATTACATGGTGTTACTCACTATCCAAACCTTCACTATTCAAACTCAAGAACCACACAGATTTAGAGTAAAAGTAAAAACAAAAAAACAAAAAACAAAAACCCCACAAACTTGCACACTATTATCCCAAAAAAAACGACATGATTTCATTGTGAATTAGAGTGATTTTGGAAAACTACTTGAATTATACATGCAAATGAAGATCTGGCACACAAAACAGTTAACTGAAGGAAAACAATCAATTTGATGGGCATCAAGGGAAATGATTTGAATTTCAAAAAACCAAGGCAGGTGTTTAGCAAGCAGAGAATTATGTGTCTATTTTTGCAAATTAATCTTTTCAATGACTGTGCTATACAAATCAATCATAAAGTAGAGGATAACTGTAGAAAGCTGTATCAAGGTATGACAAAACAGTAAAAAATATGTTAAAACAACACATGAATTATTCTTTGTTCATTCTAAGAATTTGCAATAGGCATATTACAGAACAAATTTTATAAACAGAAGAAAAAAAACTTCTTTTCATAATTTGTTTCTTTTATCAAGACAAAGTCCAAATTGATCCCCCTTCAACTCCCACAAATTCAGTATATTGGATGTGTTATGTCCAATATATTATTATGTAATATGTTATTATATAATTATGTATAACATATATTCAGTATATTGGGTAAGTTTAGTACTTATAAACTTCAAAATATATAAAAATGTCAGGCAAATGAACTGAATAGTATTATTTTTAAAACCTTATAAATTAAAAGTTAATGATCACCAGAACAACTGATATTTGGCATTCCAATAACACTTGTTTTCGGAATGCTTCTGTGTATACCAATTCTTTCTAAGACTGGTCAACTGAAGTCACCACTGTCAACATAAACTCCGAGAAAAAACTTTCAGAGGTTTTGACTACCATGCAAATTTCATAATGTGCTTCAGGATGTTCTCAGAGTTGCCTGTCTCATTTTATAGCAGATCTAATAAATGTTACTTGTTCTTCCCTCATTTCTGACAGCTTGAGAATGACTAACGCAGAATACAGTCCCTTCATGTAATACAGGTGTACATTTCACATGAATTTGAAATTTAATCCAGTATCAATGCACTTTAGACCTTAGTCTTTCAGGAATATTCATTCTACTAAATGAAGAAAAATGCTCCCAATAAGAGTTAATGCTTATAATCTCAAAGTAAAAGCTCTAGTTTAGTGTAGAAGGAAAAAATGGCAATTTAATTTAATCCAAATATCTAACCATATATCCAAATATAGTCTTAGCTTTTTCACGTTACGACCCTCTCCAGTAGAAATAAAAGATTGTTTTTATATATCTCTCAGTGTTGTCTCATTATAAGCAGTGATAATCCAAGAGTAGCTCAAAAGCAGATACTCCTCAACTTACAATGGGGTTACATTCCAATAAACCTATCAAAAGTTGAAAATCTCCTAAGCTGAAAATACATTTAACACACCTAACCTACTGAACACCACACCTTAGCCTAGCCTATGTAAAACATACTCAGAACACATATATTAGCCTATACCTGGGCAAAATCATCTAACACAGTGTGCCTATTTTATACTGAAATGTTGACTATCTCATATAATAAATTAAACAGTGAAATAAGAATGACAAACAGAATGGTTGTATGGGTACCTGAAGTATAATTTCTGCTGAATTCATATTGCTTTCACACCACCATAAAGTCAAAATATTATAGGTCAGAATAAAAGTCGAACCAAAAGTCAGGAACCATCTGTACCAATTAGCCTTTCCCAGTATTCTGTAGTACCCATGATCAGATTTTCATACAAGGAGAAATCATCTATTAATACATTCATTTCATGAATCCCCTGCTCCTTCCTTGTTAGGAACAAGTGCTCAATACCGCAAGGAAGAACCAGCACTCAGACAAAAAGTTTTCTCAGCAAGGCAATTTACTTCTGCAGGTGGGTGATACCTGCATCAGTCACATTCACAACAGCACAGCGAACAAAGGAGAGAAGGGTTTTTACTCCTAACGCAACCCCTATATCTGTGTCCTTTCCCCATTGGCTGGAGTAAGACTGCACAATCTAAACTACCCTGATTGGCTAAAACTTAAGCTTTTCTAAATATGGTCACCATGTGACGGGGAAGCAAGGGAGACGAGGGGGTCCTCGTGGGACCTAGGAGCTAATGCATTCCCAAATAAGGGAGATAATGTGAGCCACTAACCAGCTGAGACTTAGGCATGCCAGAATATGTTAGGGAACAGGTAGGCCAGGCTCAGAAAAATAGAGAACAAAGAATGAAGAAACTAGATTTCTTGAAGAGGAACTTATTGTGTCCCACCCTTACCTCCCCCCCCAACCCCTAACCTGTATGCACGCGTGCACACACACACACACACACACACACAAATACAGAGTCATTTACCTGATTGGAATGAGTAACAATTAGAGTCCTCTGTTCTGGGAAATTGTGGTAGATGTTAGATATGATCTGAACTGCCACATCTGTTTTGCCTGTACCAGGTGGGCCCACAACCTAAAAAGAAGATGAACATATAGTAAACTACTAAGTCATCACAGTTATCACACATTGTTAGAAAATGTGAAGTACAGACCTGAAAGATAAAATTAACAAATTCAGTAGATGGGCCCAATAACAAAATGAACAGGATAGAGGAAGAGTTGGTGAACTTTGAGATAGATCAGTAAGCTACACAACCTGAATAACAGAAAAAAAGATTGAAAAAAAATAGAGACCCAAGAATCTATAGAACAACATTAACAAGTCTAACACTCATGTCAACAAATTCTAAGAAGGAGAGGAAAAAGAGTATGGCATAGACAAAATTTTCGAAAAATCATGGCTGAAAATTTCCTAAATATGGCAAAAGACATAAATCTACAGATTCAAGCAGCTCAGTGAACCCCAAGAGAATAACCCCAAAGAAATCCAAGCTCAGATATACCAAAATTAAATGGTTAAAAACAAAAAGCAAAGAAAAAGAATCCCGATAGCAACCAGAGAAAAATGATACATTATATATAACAAAAAGATATTTAAAATGACTTTGGATTTGTCATCAGAAAACATGGAAATCAGAAGAAGTGTAATAACACTTAAAGTGCTAAAAGGAAGAACTATCAAGCCACAATTCTATGTCGAGGTGAAATATCTTTTATGAAGATGAATTAGAGACATTCTTGCATGAAGAAAAACAAAACTAACTCATATCTAGTAGACATGTTATAAAAAGTGGTTAAAAAAAAAAAAGTTCTTCAGACAGAAAGAAAATGCTACCAGAGGAAACTTGGAATATCAGGAATATAGAATAAACAGCAAATATAGTAAGAGGCTATTTTTTCCTCTAGAGTTCTTTAAAATACGTATACAGGTGAAACCAAAAATTCTAATACTACCTGATGGTATCTTAATGTATTTAGATGTAACACACAAAACAACTACAATATAAAAGGGGAAGGAAGGTAAAGGAATCTTTATGGGAGTAAGTATTTGCCATTCAACCTGAAGTGACATAATACTGATTGTAAGTAGGCTTTGAAAAGTTAAGTATATTGCAAATTCCTAGAGCAGCCACTAAGAAAACACTACACCCAAAAATATAATGAAAGAATATGATAGGCCAGGCGCAGTGGCTCACACCTGTAATCTCAGCACTTTGGGAGGCTGAGAGAGGCAGATCACTCGAGGCCAGGAGTTCAAGACCAGCCTGGCCAACATAGTGAAAACCAATTCTTTACTAAAAATACAAAAATATCAGCTGGCCGTGGTGGTGCACACCTGTAATCCCAGCTACTCAGGTGGCTGAGGCACAAGAATCATTTGAACCTGAGAAAGCAGAGGTTGCAGTGAGGTAGGATGGTGGTACTACACTTCAGCCTGGGCTACAAAGTGAGACTGTCTCAAAAAAAAAAAAAAAAAAAAACCGAAAAAAAACCCAAATATAATAAATAAAAACGTAATACTCAAATAACACAATGGAAGGCAGGAAAAGGGAAACAGAAGAATACAAAATAAAGGGAACAAATAGAAAATAAATAAAAAATGATAGGCCTAAATCCAAATGTGTCCATTAATTTGCATTAAATGTGAATAGTCTAAACACCAAAAGACAGAGACTCTCAGAATGGATAAAGCAACATACCTAAAGTATATGCTGTTTATAAGAAACTCACCTCAAATATGACGACAAATAGAAGTAAAATGACAGAAAAAGAAATATTGTGCAAACACAACTTAAAAGAGAGCTGCAGTAACAATATTAATATCAGACAAAGTAGACTTCAGAGCAAAGAAAAACTTCCATCAATGAAGACAGACACTACATAATAATAAATGGGGCCAATTCACCATGACAACATAACAACCTTAAAGGTGTGAAGCACTTATCCATGAAGCTTCAAAATACATTAAGCAAAAATTGACAGACCTAAAGGAGAAACAGACAAATTCATAGTGAGAGACTTCAATAGTCTGCTTTCAGTAATCGACAAAACAACAGACAGAAAATCAGCAATCATAGAGAAAAATTAAATAATAACATCAATGAAATGGATCTAATTGACATTTACAGGACAACCCACTCCAAAACAACAGAATACACATTATTTTCAAGTGCACATGAAATAGTCACCAAGAGAGATCATATGCTGGGCCATAAAACAAATTTTAACAAATTTAAAAAGCAAAAACCAAAAAATTAAAATCATACAATATATTCTCTGACCATAATAAACTTTGACCAGAAATCAGTAACTGGAAGATTACAGGGAAACCTCCAAATACTTAAAAATTAAACACACTTCTAAATCAGTTGTCAGCAGACTTTTTCTGTAAACAAGAGCCAGAGAGGAAGCATTTTCGGCTTTGCAGGCTAAGCAATCTGTGTTGCAAGTACTTATCTCTGCCACTGCAGCACAAAAATGGCTATAAGCAATGCAGAAAACAAATGGATGATATATTTGCTAATTATCCTAATTTGATCATTACACAATATATACAGTCATCAAAACATCACATCATACCCCATAAATATGCACAATCATGTCAATTAAAAATAAAACAAAATCATGTTCTAATAAAAGTATGAACACAGAAGTGAGCAGCAAGATCTCTAAATGCATAAGAACCTACACTTGCTTATAAACACTTAAATTCAGTGGGGTTGCTGTACTTCAAATAGAACACATTCTAAAATCTGTTACTTACTTCTAGTCTTAATCTATGTTTAAAAAAAAAAAAAAAGGTGTGGCTGGGTGCGGTGGCTCACGCCTGTAATCCCAATACTTTGGGAGGCCGAGGTGGGTGGATCACCTGAGGTCAGGAGTTCGAGAGAAGACGGGCCAACATGGCAAAACCTTGCCTCTACTGAAAATACAAAAAATTAGCTGGGCATGGTGGCGGGTGCCTGTAATCTCAGCTACTTGGGAGGCTGAGGCAGGAGAATCACTTGAACCTGGGAGGCGGAGGGTGCAGTGAGCTGAGATCGCACTACTGCACCACTGCACTCCAGTGTGGGCAACAAGAGCGAAACTGTGTCTCAGAAAACAAACAAACAAACAAACAGGTATAACAACTATCTTACCATAGTCAGCCCAGGCTGCATTCCAGCACGGATGGCTTCTATCTGTGTATGAGTGAACTGAATCGTATTACTGCAAGTAAGAGTAAATAAAAAGTTGGTACAGATAAATGATACTTAGTATAATACAAATTTAGACAACAATGACCAGTGGTCTAAACATCTGCTCTGTATTTACCCCAGTTCTCTCAATCTCTTCTGAATGACTCCCTTCCCCTCTACCCTCCAACACAGACAATTAAAATGGAATTATAGTTACTTTTCAGTACTTAGCCCATCTCAGACCTCATTTGGAGTGCCAAAGTTCTAGTTCCCATTCTAATACTAAATATAATTCCAACTTACCAGTTATGGAACACATGTATTAGGGCTACTGCTGTATGTAACACAGGCTCATGAAGTAAGAACCCTTTGCTCAAATTAAGGTAGCCCTCTAACATTTATTTCTCATAGTACCTGAAAATGTTTCTTTTTGAAATATTATGACTACAGAATGGCCTAAAATGTCAGTTATTCAGCTGACTGATAGAATAGAAAGAAAGGGGGTTCAGAAACAGGAGTTTTGTGGAGTTGTAAAAGAAAGAAAATTTAAAAACATTCCTAATCCAGCTGAAATGGCAAACTATTATCATTATTACAATTAGAATAGGTAGTAAAATTACCGTTTGGGTTGATTATAAGGATAAGGACCCCTATTAGGAATAACATGGGGCTCAACAATTAAGGTTTTTGCCTCCTCGGTGTCTTCATCTTCCACATCCGCATCTTTCCTTTTCTTCCCTTTTCCACTTCTTACTGGAAAAGTTATCCTACAAGACCAAAACTTTTGTTCATTTTTACAATTAACAAGGATTTACTGAGTACCTATCTGGTACATGACATTGTAGGCACAATAATCACAGGAGTAAGAAACATTTCTGGCTTAAAGGAACTCACTATCTGTATGTAAACTCTGAAAATGGTAGAGTTATAAGCACTAAAGTGTTGAGAGTTTTCAGATTTAAAAAAGTAATCCAGTTAACAGAGATTTAAGGGAGAATTTAAAGAAACATTAAATACTATGTCATGTGCATTGTAAAGTGTTTTATTCATTGTCCTTCATTTAATCAGAAAAAAATTTCATGGGACAGATGGCATCTAAGATGAGTCTCAAAGAATTTAGGCATTCAAAAACAGGAAGACGTTCCTGGAAGAAAGAAGCAACAGCAGAGGCCAAGTACAAGCAGCGTATTTCACCTGAACATAGAGGAAAAATAAGGCTGAAGAGACAGAAGCCTTGTTATGACAGGAACCTTGTAATGACACATCTAGAATATGAAGCTTTTAAGGCAGAGGGTCATAACCTGGGGTTAGGAGGTAACTCCCCACAGATACCTCAGGGAAGTCAATGAACTCCCTAAAATTGAACTAAAAAATTCATTCTCTATGTGTACTTTTTCCAGTTGCCTTTCACATTCTAAAAAACTAGATAACACCAAAGAATGCTAAGAGCCAATGAGGCTAAGTGGTCAGTACTCATTTTGGTAAGAAATAGGAGCAATCAGCTTTTTAGCTAGGCAGTGAACAGCTCTAGCAGTAAACCATGTAATGGATTCTAGTGAGGTGAGATATGGAGGAAAGATTTTGCTACCATAAAGACTGCTGAGGGCCTAAAGAGGGAGCAGTACAAATGGCACATGAAAAAACTATCCTTGGCAGGGAGCGTTAGCTCATACTTGTGATCCCAGCACTTTGCGAGGCCGAGGCAGGTGGATCACGGGGTCAGGAGATCAAGACCATCCTGGCTAACACGGTGAAACCCTGTCTCTACTAAAAATACAAAAAAAAAGAAAATTAGCTGGGTGTGGTGGCAGGTGCCTTGTAGTCCCAGCCACTCGGGAGGCTGAGGCAGGAGAATGGCGTGAACCCAGGAGGCAGAGCTTGCAGTAAGCAGCAAGTGCACGCCACTGCACTCCAGCCTGGGCAACAGGCAGACAGACAACTATCCCCAAGGCGGAATCTCTGAGATATAGCAGGAGTTTTATGGGAGTAAAAAGATTCAAAAATAATGCTGAGATTTCAAGATGGCGGAGTAGAAAAATGTCTTTGCCAGAAATAGGATTAGGAAAGTATGGAAGACTAGGTTTGGTATATAAAGGATATGTGTATTCAACATGTAGAATTATTATTATTTTGAGATAGAGTCTTGCTCTGTCACCCAGGCTCGAGTGCAGTGGTGTGATCATAGCTCACTGCAGCCTCACACTCCTGGGTTCATGTGATCCTCTCACCTTAGCTTCCTGAGTAGCTGGGACTGCAGGCACATATCAAATCTTGCTAATTTTCATTTTTTTAATATAGAGATGAGGTCTCAGTTGCCTAGGGTGGTCTGGAATTCCTGGCCTCAAGCAATCCTCTCAACTTCACCTCCCAAAGTGTTGGGATTACAGGCATGAGCCACCAAACCTGGCCTACTATTTTATTTACATATATATATATTTTACTGTTTGGGTTGATTATATACATTATTATTTATATATATTTATATATATAAATATTTGGCCGGGCGCGGTGGCTCAAGCCTGTAATCCCAGCACTTTGGGAGGCCGAGACGGGTGGATCACGGGGTCAGGAGATCGAGACCATCCTGGCTAACACGGTGAAACCCCGTCTCTACTAAGAAATACAAAAAACTAGCCAGGCGAGGTGGCGGCGCCTGTAGTCCCAGCTACTCGGGAGGCTGAGGCCGGAGAATGGCGTGAACCTGGGAGGCGGAGCTTGCAGTAAGCTGAGATCGGGCCACTGCACTCCAGCCTGGGCTACAGAGCGAGACTCCGTCTCAAAAAAAATAAAATAAATAAATAAATAAATAAATATTTAACAATCAGTTGAAAGCTGTGTGTTTTCTAATTTGTAGCTAAGAAAGTAATCTGTGGGGTACCACCCATAGGTATCTATATGAAGGAATTCAGGGAGTAACAACCAATTATTTCAGGTGCTTTGTTCTGTTTTCACTTAAATTTTAACACCAGAGCTAATTTAACATTAAATATGACTACTGTGAGTATTTATTTCATTTATTGAGAGATGAGGTCTTCCTCTGTCACCCAGGCTGGAGTACAGTGGCACAATCATAGCTTAATGCAGCCTTAAACTCCTGGGTTCAAGCAATCCTCCTGCCTCAGCCTCCTGAGTTCCTGAAATTACAGGTGTGTGCCACCATGTCCAGCTACGTTTTAAAATTTTTTTAGAGATGGGGGTCTCGCTATGTTGCCCAGGCTGGTTTTGAATTCCCAGCCTCAAGCTGTCCTCCTGCCTTAGCCTCCCAAGTCACTGGGATTACATGCATGAGCCATTGTGCCCAGCTATACTGTGAACGTTTCAAATTTGTGAAAGCAAGCAAAGTTAAAAGAAAGAAAGATTTTTTCCCTAAAAACAAAGTTCAACATCCCACAGCTGTATTAGCTGAGAAACATACCAGACTATGCATAAATGCAAAGACATATTTTAGTCAAATGCTATACATATATTTATATAGTTCTCTGCAGACAGTAAGTGTTTACTGATCCCTTATTAGGCATTAGGCTACTTTTATTGTGGTCTTAAAACAGCTTGTGCCCTAAGAAATAGATTCAAATATATTAAAGTTATCCCAGTGATTGCACGGTGAAGGTAGGGACTGCTGAAACAAAATTCAGACATAGTACTCAAAACTCACTTTGGCTAACAATCCTGATGGCATAACACACATTGACTACAGAATGCTGGAGAGGGGCATACCCAGATCTGACTTTACCTGAAAGGGGGTATTTGTAGAGCAGGGTCTTCTACAGTTACTTTAACATTATGACCAGGGAAGCTGGCTTTTAAATGCTCAATGGAGAGAAATGTATCATTGAAATCAAGAGTGGCAATCTGATTGGGCATTTTTGAATAATGTGCGCTACTTGGGTCCCCATAACCTAAAATGATATCATGCAGCCAGTCAGGTACCACACAATCAGTATTCATCAGGTTCCGAATAGTCTCCAGCACAGCCTGTCAGTAAAAGGACAGAAAAAGATTGTGTCAGTGAGACATCTCAAACATTTGCACTTACTGGAATGCAGAGCTGGCTGCACTAATCCAGAATTCCTGAGTGTTTCAGAGCAAGAAGCTATTTTCCGCTGGCTGACAGGTGCTTGGCTAGACTGAATCAACAGCTATATTTTCAGCTGATACCACACATTGAGTTAAACAAAAGACCAAACTTAGCAAGAACAGTTTATCCATTAAGAGTTCACTTAAACAGAATGACATAAATAAATTTACCATTTGACTCCTATTGAGTAGGATGAAAACCAGACTCAGGTCGATACAGCAGTAAGAAAACAATATAGAACAAACCCTTAGAGAAAATACCTCCTCTCAGAAACTCCTGGAGGTTTTCCCTCTTTATACTCCATAGTTCTTTAATGCTAAAATCACACACAACCAGAAGCACATTAATGTATGCTTCAATTGTGATGAAACCTCACAATTTAGAAAACTAAAATTAGCACTGTGAGAAGAAATAAAAAATAAAGTGAACAAAATCATAAAAATAAAGGAAATATCAAATAAAATTTCAGAAGGAAAGAATCAGGACTACAACAAAAGGTCATTATAGTAGTTAGCATATATACTGTCAAAAGTAATTCCAAAAAGCTAAGGGAAATTCTTAGACTTTCCAAAAATCATTTCAACAAAGTGATCTATCTCACATATATCTCACATATAGAAATTTGGAGGCTAGGCTATCAATTTCAAAGAATAAAATAACCAAACCGACAATTTTTAAATCATAACTATTATACAACTTTTAAAAATGATAAGATAGTATATGTTAATCACACCCTTAATCATGTTGCCTTGCTTTATGTTCTTACACTTATCACTACCTGAAATTCTCTTGTTCAGGTACTTGGTTATTTGTTTTAACCCTACTATCCCTACTATCATTTGTTTAATCCCTACTAAAATATAATTCCCACAAGAGTAGGGATCTAGACCAGTTTAAATATGGAACAGGTGAATGAATGAATACCCAAATGAGTATATTCACATAACAATGATGAGTAAGATCAGTGCTCTGCCCTCTAAGGAAATGACAGTTTTAGTAGCAAGATAAAATATGTCCTTAACTGTAACAAAAAGCAGCAGAATGTGGTAAACAGTAAAGAATGTTATAAAATGCAATGGGAACAAAGTTCACAGTAAATGAGAGATGGATGCCGGGGACACTTAACATTAGGAAAGGTTTCATGGAGGAAAGTGGTATTTTTATTGAACTAAAGTAAAAGATTTGTGAAGGAGCTTTGATTTATTTCGTCATGAATAGGAAGTCAAAGAAATGTTCTGAGAAGGAGAGTAAAATGATCAGTGTCACACAGTAGGGAAACATATGAAAAACAGGTGACTGGCTATGAGGAGACTCAAGGGTAGACAAAGAGGGGGCTATTATAACTGTCTAGGCAAAAAATAAAGTATCCAGATTAGCACAGGTTGTACAAACTGGAAAAGAGAAAAGGCAATAAATGAGCGATGCTACACAGGTACATAATAAAACACCAAAGACACTAAAAGAGCATTCTTTTTTTCCTAAACATAGGCAAGTTAATCATTCCCCCTCTTTCTTGGATCAGAAACTAAATCCCTCCTTTGAACTTTCAGGACACTTTCATCCACAGTCTTTTTATGGCTTTTGATACCTTCTAACTGTTCATGGTAAGCATTTGCCTAGATTTCTAACTTCTCTAAAGGTGTAAGTTGTATCTGATTCATCTTCATAAGCTTCATTTTAGCACAATATCAGACTTACAGTAGGCACTAAATAAAACAGTCAAACATATGAGTATAAGAAAATAATTTTTTAGTTTTCAGTAAAGTAACTGAGATTTATTTACTGAAAACTGATCAACTGTGACAGTCTAAAACTTAGAAACTCTTAGATTTCTCCATCCTTTGTTCACTCAATAAACGTTTATTAAGAATATACTATATAATAGGCACAGTTCTAGGTGCTAAGGACACGCTGGAGAACAAAACAAAGACCCTGCCCTCATAGATTTGTTTGCTTCACTGCTTTCTAATGGAGAATTCAGATACATAACAAATGTATAATCATCAGTTACGATAAGGGCTCTGAGGAAAAATATAGGGAATAGGGTAGAGAATGATAAGATGCTACTTTAGGTAAGGTTGCCAGGGAAGGCTTCTCTTAGGAGGTGACATTGAAAAAGAGTTGTCCATGTCAGGTGAGGAAATGAACTATGTAAATACCTGGGGATAATTATCTAAGTAAAAGGAACACCATGTGAAAAGTCTTGGATTATTTTAAAAAACAGCAAAAATGACAGTGTGACTGACATGGAGTGAATAAGGAAAAAGTGTTAGAAAATGATGTTGGGAGAGGTAGCCAGAAGACAGAAAATGATAGGGCCTTTTGGATTATGGTAGGAACTTTCTAATGTGATGGAAAAACATTAAAGAATGTTAAGTGGGGGTATCAAGGTATCTTTCACATTTTAAAAGGATTATTCAGCCATTATGTGGATATGTGTAAGGGGAGGAACAGACAAGAGGCAGGGATGTGTGAGATAAAGGTGTCTTGGACATGGCATCAGCAGAGGTGATGAGCTAATCAGACTCACTGATGGATTAGAGGTAGAGTATGAGACAAAGAGAAATCAAGAATATCTCCACTTGTGTTCAACAACAGGGAGAGATGAAGAACAAGTTCTGCTGTTTGAAAAGTTTTCTTTTTTTCAATCACAAAAACAGGGTAACATAAAAGTAATAAAGTGATAGGAACGTCTAAGAAGTACTGCACTTTGGGAGAAAGAGAAAAGGAAGGCATTCTTTCTACAAAAGCTACATATTATCAAATGCTAGAATTGTTCAATGTTTAAGTTTTATAATATAGTTTCAAATAATGGTTTTTAAAAACTATCCTTTAATAAAAATCTTCTCCCCACAAAGTTATTCTGAAAGTAAAACTTTCAGCCACCAAACTTCCCTTTCCTACTAATGACTAAAAATATATTATATCATATAGTAATTCAGAGCCTTGAGGTTCCATATCTGTCTTCTTAAAGTGACTTGGAAGTATACCTACTTTTGATTCAAAAAAGAAGCCCCAGTAAACAAGTAAGCAAGCTTTCCTTCACTTCACAATAGGGCATTAGCTGAGTACCTAATATACAAAAAGCAAAAAAGGAGGTGGACCCTTAATAACATGTGGATTCATCTATATTTGAAGTTTCTAAACTCCTCAAAAGACAAAATAATTTAACAAATCAATTTCTTTAAATTTTTATATTTCATCAATGTTAAAAGTTTAAGAGGACTGCTTATAGTAAAAATAAAAGCAGTAATTATTATTTTCTTAACAAATCTTCCTCTAACCAAATATCTTTGTATTTACGTCATAAAAGTTACTTAAATTATGACATAGTACTTTTAGTTACATAGCCCCCAAATTACCTTAAAGTTATTTTCCTTTGGTTTTCTCCTCATTATTATATTAAAAGTTTCATACACATCCTCTGCTCCATTCTGTATAGTATTGGTCATATCTTGTTGATACTGGTTTGGATCCAAAAACACTCTAAATGTCCTTGATTCTCCTCTAAGATTGGGTCTGGGTTCAGGTCCTGGACAATTTGAAAAAGTTTATTAAATAAAATATATATTTTTCAAATATCAAAGTAAGTCAACAGTATTTTTTTCCAGAAATGGTGAGTAAATGGTTCAGGCTTAACTCCAACCATTTTTCCCAAACTAGAATGCCCCCACTCACCCACATCAATTCTAAGCTGAAAGTATTTTCTTCTTTCTCTACATTCTTACTATTTCCTTCCATAGCAGTCATGTAACGTTTACGATGCAATGCCATGACTTGCAATAATTTGTACACACACTCAGAAGCCACACACTTAGAAGTCAAAGAACTTTACTTTTGTCACTCATAGCTCCCACTACTGCTTTACCTACAGTAAGTATTCAATAAATATTTTCTAATTAAATATATGTATTTTAGAATTTAAGGCATAGTTTTCTATTCCTTAATTTGACAGAGGTTTATCACTTTTCTCATCCTTCCACATTCCATACCTAATATAACCAGCACGAAAAGAAATTTCGCATACACAGAAATGTAGGATACTAATGGTTGAAAGCCCAGAGCCTTTTCTTTCCTCTCTGACATATCTCCTCTTCTGGGCATGCGGGGTGGGTGGGTCTTAGACCTCCAACTTTGGTTCTATTATATGGCCTCATGCTTACTCCATCCATTTTCCATTCCCTTCTCCTATTTTCTTTTATTCTAGAGATAAATAACCTAATCATCAGCAGTTTAACAACGATATAATCTCTAAACCACAGATGGCAGAAACTGACTGAAGTTTCAAAAGAAGTTTAACAACCGGCGGGGCATAGTGGCTCATGCCTGTAATCCCAGCACTTTGGGAGGCAGAGGCTGGTGGATCATGAGGTCAAGAGACCGAGACCATCCTGGCCAAAGAAGTGGTCCCTGAGAAGTCATTTATCCTCTACCAAGATAGAAGTAGCTTTTTGGCATCACTGAGGATGACCCTCTTGTCTCTCCTAACAACCACTTGTCCCATCTGGAACATCTTAGATTTCCCTATTTTTTTAAAATCCTTTTATTTCAAATGAGCTCAACTCTCTCTGTCCCACTTGCAACCATTTGTATCTCACCCCGTAATCCTAACAGTGCTTTTTGGAAGCAATGCCTGGTCCATTTCCATTTCATGAAATTCTGTTACTTAACTTTAAGTGAAAAGATGAAGAAGATCAAGGGCTTGAGGTCACAACCTTTCAAAGGGAAAGAAGAGAATGTTTATGTATTATAGTTTAATAGTCTTCTAAAATTTACTTTAATAAAAACAATATCCAGCGGTCCGCGGTGTACATGTATCCAGTTGTAATTTAATAATAAGCATTATAAAGGAAGTCAGGACAACAGAAGAAAGAATTTCAAAGGGATAATAAGTGATACACATAAGAAATCAAATAACTAATTTTGTAAAGCAGTATTTTTAAATGAGGTAAAGTTGGCATCTTATGCAGGGTAATTCTTTTAGTTCTGTTCTGATATTTAGCATCCCTGGCTCATAGTTACCTAAGGCCAAGAGCCTACCATTCCTCACCTCTATCCCAGTCATTTGAAAACCTAAATATCACTATGCATTTCCAAACGAAGGACAGTATTGTTCCCAATTAAGAACCACCACTACAATGAATTAAAACAGTCAAATTTAAGAAGAAAAAATATACTATTCAACACAAAAAAGCTTAGACAACTGTAAGAAGTATTTAGTGTTTCTTAAAAAAAAAAAAAGTCAAGTATTATATATTTTAAAAAGCTTTGAATAAAGATGATTTCAAAAGGTCCTGTCCCAGAGTTCAAGACCAGCCTCGCCAACATGGTGAAACCCTGTCTCCATTAAAATACAAAAATTAGCCAGGCGCGGTGGCAGGCATCTGTAATCCCAGCTACTCGGGTGGCTGAGGCAGAATTGGTTGAACCTGGGAGGCAGAGGTTGCAGTGAGCTGAGATCATGCCATTGCACTCCAGCCTGGATGACATTGGGGGAAAAAAAGAAAAAAAAAAGATACTGTCCTTTCCAATATCCAACATAGAAGTTTTTTAACTGGCCGGGTGCGGTGCTGGCTCACGTCTGTAATCCCAGCACTTTGGGAGGCCGAGGCAAGTGGACTGCTTCATCTCAGGAGTTTGAGACCAGCCTGGGCAACATGGGGAAATCCCATCTCTACCAAAAACTACTAAAATTTACTGGGCATGGTCACACATGCCTATGGTCCCAGCTACTAGTGGGACTGAGGCTGGAGAATCGCATGCACCCAGGAGGCAGAGGTTGCAATGAGCTGAGATTGCGTCACTGCTCTCCAGCCTGTGTGACACAGTGAGATTCTGTCTCGGGGAAAAAAAAAGTTTTGAAACCATGTTACCTATATCTAACACTGCATGGTAGGTACCCTAGACATATTTGATACAAAATCTTCTGTCAATTTAGTAGGTAAAACAACTAAAAAATATCTAAGAAGCAAAAAAGGAAAAAAGGCAAATAAATGTATCATTCTATACACATACTCTTTCAAAAATATATGCCACCATACCATCTTCAATGACACGTCCTTTGTCATCCAGCATGCCCTGAATTTCACAGCCTCTGACATAAACCAGGCCAACCTGCTCAATAAAAGGTCTCCTCCGGTCAAACTTAGTGCCGTAAGGTTTTGTGGGACGTACAGTAATTAAAAAGCATACATCATGCTTACGAAGACCTGGTAAGACATAAAGACATTTCCATTTATTAGAATTTCATTGTTTTCAGTCTTTTGTAGGCAAATTCTTATTTGCCTCTCTACCTCTTATCTTTGGTAGAGAGATATCATGAGTGACCAACGATTATTATCGCATTGTAACACAATTATGGGCTTTTCTATAATCTTTAATACTCAATATTTCATAGCATTAATTGAAATGAAAACCTCTTTATATTAAAATTAGAAACATTCATGCCATGAATATATTACTGAATAAGCCCTCCAAGTCATGCTACAGCTCCAAAATTGGATGTTCGTCATCATTCTTATTTTTAACATTCTTAATAAGTAACCAAAAATATGGCTGGCATATAATCCATCTATAGCATATTTAGCAGGTTTTTAATATCAGTTTAAACTATCTATCAGTGTCATTCCAAAGACAGCCTAATTGTATTTCACTAAAACAGGTCAACTCAAGAATAATTCATCAAGGCAAAAAAGTATTGTTTACAGATACGATTTTGAGAAAGATGGCTGAATATATTTGGCAAATACTGAACATTTTTATAAGTGAATGTCAAGAAATAGGACACTTGTGCCAAAGTCCATAGTTTCTTGGTCACTAGACCCAATAATGAACTCAACGGGCTTCCCAGTTCCATTAAAAGTAGACAAACTGGAAGACAAGGATATAAAATTAGACCTCAGAGCATGTAATGCTACACCACTTAATCTTCATTCCATTTCCAATGCTTTTGTTAGCCATTATATGACATAAATGTAAATGTAAACAGTCTGCTTGCTCATAACCTTGTTAACAACAAACACAATGAAATCAAACCAACAATGTGGGTATATGGCCAATAGTACTGAAAATATTTTGGTTTGTTTTAATTGGGGGACTGGTTAGAGTACGGGTAAAGGTAGAAATAATAACTCTATTCATAATACTGATTTATTTCCCAATAAATTCTATGCAAAGCAGCAAGAGTAGTAATGAGAATGAATGGGAACGGTTCTACTATCTGAGTTGTATTACTTGTGTGACATCTGATCTGTACAGCTCATTAAAACTTCTAAGTCTTAAAGACAAAGAAGTGGTCCTGAGAAGTCATTTATCCTCTACCAAGATAGGAGGTACTTTTTGGCATCACTGAGGGATGACCTCTTGTTCCTTCCTAAAGCAAACCACTTTCCTCTGGGACATCTTAGATCCACATTTTTTAAAATCCTTTATTTCAATGAGCTCAACTCTCTCTGTCCTTGCAACCATTTGTATCCACCCTATCCTAGCAGTGCTTTCTGGAGCAAATCTGGCATTTCCATTTCATGAATTCTGTTACCTTAACTTTAAGTGAGAATATTGAAGAAGATAAGGGCTTGAGGTTCACACCTTTTCAAAGGGAGAAGAGGAATGTTTTATGGTATTTAGTTTAATAATCTTTAAAATTTACTTTTATAAAACAATATTCAGCCGGGCGCGGTGTGGCTCATGCCTGTAATCCTAGCACTTTGGGACGCTGAGGCGGGTGGATCACAAGGTCAGGAGTTCAATACCAGCCTGGCCAAGATGGTGAAACCTCGTCTTTAGTAAAAATACAAAAAATTAGCTGGGCGTGGTGGTGGGTGCCTATAATCCCATCTACTCGGAAGGTTGAGGCAGAGAATTGCTTGAACCCGGGAGGTGGAGGTTGCAGTGAGCCGAGATTGTGCCACTGTACTCCAGCCTGGGCAACAGAGTGAGACTCTATCATTTAAAAAAAAAAAAAAAAAATCATTATTGTTTACAGAATCTCTCCTTTTTGCTCCCATTTTCTATTTGGCTATCCTATCTGTGATCAATATAGGGGCTGGTTTTTGGCCCAGACCTCCCAGAAAACACGTTTCTCTCCATCACACCCCAGACTATCACTCATCCCACAATGCCCTATTGTGCCCTATCTTGCCCATCAAAATGTACCCATTCCACTTCTCATTCTACCAGAGGCTGATGTTTAAAAGAAAAAAAGACTGCCTCATGTCCTTCTGAAAGCAGTCAGTAATGGGGAATGTGGCCTGTTTTTAAACATCCTTTTGTTTTCCTTAACACCAAAATGCGGACCTCTCATCTATAAATTCCTATAAAGAGTCCATTAAAATAAACAAAATTCCAACCATTTACTACTTCTGGGGGTACGCAGTAAGTTATCTCAGTTTATTTCCCACTGTGTAAAACAGTGTTTAATATCTCCTTAAGCTTCAAGGAATAATAAATATGAGGTCTTCTCCAGCAACTTAATGGCTTTCTCGGGGTTCAGCAATAGTAAAGGCGCACATTATTCTGGATGAGTAATACACAGAATGAAACTCTTTTGAAGAATACAAGAGTTATAAAAACAATCTGTCACAAACTATACCCACTACCGTAGGCACTTGTTAAACATTTGGCTAGCTCTGTTGCCGGATTCCTTCAGAATTCTTTGATAACAATATAGTTTCCATGATTATAAACAGCTACACTGGTAGTAATAATTTCTGAAAACAGATCCATTAAGGGGCTATCCCTTTCCTTCTGGCATGCCAAGAAAGTAAAAGGAGGTAAAACCTACTGACTACTGTTTCTCAAAACAGGGCATCAAGTAAGACCTCTCACAGGACAGCTGGGAGAAAAATATAAAACTGCCTAATAGAAATCAGTTCATATGTCACTTCTGGCAGAGGTCCTACCATTTTAATTCTATTGGACTTAGTAATTTTGAACATATCTGCCACCAAAACAAATTAATTTTGACATGGAACTCTCATCCTTAAAATCTTGCCTAGCAAAAAATAGGAGGAATAACTCCTTTAATTTCTTTGCAATTATTATATATCCTTGAGTACATTCGATTTCACTGATTCTTTAGCCTTTCTGCCTTAGGTGCAAACAAACTATTATTTATTTCTGAGTTGTTTCACTATAGCCCCGCCCACCCCCACATTCTTTTTGAGCTTGCCTAATTTTGATTTTGTATTTTTATTTTCCACAAAGTGTATGTAGTTCTATTCTTTTCACCTTGGCTTTTATTTTTTGAAAAATACCAATTTTCCTTACTGCTCTGCATGTCTGCATGTTATATGTGGGCTTTCTCCCCACTCTTTGGTGAACACTAATATTTTTATTCTTTTATATTGATCCCACAAATCCATAAATATTATCTTGCTAAATTTAAGACTTAAAATGCTCTCCTCTAGTCTTTGCAAACTTCAGTTTTCAAAACTTTGATATGTATGCAATTTTATCCTTTTTATTAAAATATTAAGATACCTAAATATTCTTGTATGATCCCTGGTATTTTTAAAACTAATAATTAGAAAGTTGCTATTCTTTAAATCAAATTTCAAGGATAAAGTTTAATAAAAGCTTAAAAGGATAACATTTAGTAAAAGTACTTTGTTAATGCTCTAAGTGAAAGTTCATAACAAGGCAAAAGGTAATGTCACTTTTTGAAATACAAAATTACCTTCCCATTCATCTTTGATGTGATCTCTGACATTCAGATTTATGGTAACATCTGCACGAACTCGGGTTGGCCAGTTTTCACCTATGTTGGGTTTGGCCACTTCAACAACAGTGAAAGCCACAATGGGCTGAGCCATTCGCGCCCAACCACCAAACACTACACCGCCATATTCAGATTGCCTAAAACCAAAGAAATGGATGGTTACTCAAACAAAAAATAATTTATCCCCAACTTTTAGACAAGTAAAACTAGTAAGTAGGAATACCGTTCAGCTAGTATTTAAGTCCTAATATTAGTAACCCCTATTTCTTAACTTAAAAAAAAAAAAAACCTTTAACTCTCAAAGTATACAAAGTATATATGATAGCATGAAACAGGTACATGATAGTATGAAACAGGCAAATGTGGTCCAGAAAAGAAACAGAAGTAGAGGAATATCTCCTCCCCAACCTAAGAAAAAAGCTAACCCTATGTATGTAAGAGCGTTCTGGGGCTGAGCCATTTTATCAAAGAAATAAATAATGTAGCACACTTAGTTTTATTTCAGCTTTATTGAGGTATACTTGACAAATAAAAATTGTATATATTTAAGGAATATAATGTGATGTTTTAAACTATGTATACACTGTGGTATCATTACCAACACAGTTATCATTTTTGTGTGTGTGTGGTAAGAATACTTAAGACCTATCCTGGCAAGTTTCAAGTACATAAAACATAATAGGCACTATGCTTTATAGTAGATCTCCAAACTTATGTAGCTTGTAACTGAAAGTTTAGACCCTTTGACCAGTATGCCCCCATTTCCCCCACCTACAACCCATAACTGCCCTTCTACTGCTTCCATGAATTTGCCTTTTTTTAGATTCCATATGTAAAGTGAGATCATCAGTTTTTGTCTATCTGTATCTGGCTTAATACATTTGGCATAACGTACTCCGGGTTTATCCACGTTGTCAAAAAAAGGATTTCCTTCTTTTTAAAAGGTTAATCATATCCCATTGTGTGTTTTTATATATGTACACACACGCGCCACATTTTCACATTTTCTTTATCCACTCAGCCCTTAAGTTGTTTCCACATCTTGGTTATTGTGAATAATGCTGCAACGAACACAAGAGTGCAGACATCTCTTCAGGATCGTGATTTTATTTCCTTTGGATAAACATTCAGAAGTGGGTTTGCTGGATCACATGATAGCTCTGATTTTTAATTTTTTGAGGAACCTCCATATTGTTTTCCATAATGGCTGTACTAATTGACATTCCCACCAATAGCGTATAAGAGTTCCCTTTTCTCCACATCCTTGCAAACACTTGTTATCTTTTGACTTTTGATAACAGTCATTCTAACAGTTGTGAGGTATGAATATCTCATTGTGGTTTTGATATGCATTCCCTTGATGATTAGTGATGTTGAACACCTTTTTATCTATCTGTCCTTTGTATATCTTCTCACAAAAAATGTTTTCAAGTCCTTCACCCATTTTTTATTGGGTTATTTGGTCTTTTGCTATTGAGTAATATGAGTTCCTTACATATTTTGGATATTAACTTCTAATCAGATATATGGTTTGCAAATATTTTCTTCCATTCTGTAAGGCTGCCTTTTCATTTTGTTGACTGTTTCCTTTGCGGTGCAGAAACTTTTCAGTTTGATGTGGTCCCCACTTACTTATTTTTGCTTTTGTTCCCTGTGCTCTTGGTATCACCCAAATATCATTGCTAAGACCAATGTTATGGAGTTTTTCCCTTGTTTTCTTCTTGGAGTTTCATGGGTTCAGGTCTTATGTTAAAATCTTCAATCTATCTTCAGTTAACTTTTGTGTATCATGTAAGATAGGGATCCTATTTCATTTTTTTACAAGTAGATATCCAGTTTTCCCAAGACCATTTTCCTTTCCCTATTGTATACTCTTGGCACATGCATCAAAGATTAAATGATTGTACAAGTGTGAGTTTACTTCTGGGCTTTCTCTTTTGTTGGTCTATGTGTTTTTATGCCACTACCATACTGTTTTGACCACTGTAGCTTTGTAATATAATTTGAAATCAGGAAGTATGATGTCTCCAGCTTTGTTCTTCTTGATCGAGATTGCTTTAGCTATTCAGGGTCTCTTAATGTTACTAATTGGCAGCTTTGTATTTCAGCTTGGAGAACTTCCATTGGCATTTATTATAAGGCAGTCTAGTGATGATAAACTCTCTCAGTTTTTGTTCTGTTCTGTTTTTCTGTCCTTATTTCTCTTTCATTTCTGAAGGACCTCTTTACTTGGTTTTATTTTATATTGTTATCCTTTTACCCTCTTCATAAAGACCGTTTCAATTGTTAATATTTTATTTTCTGTATTTTAAGAATTTCTATAAGCTGTTTCGAATACATTTTAGGACAAGCTACAATTTCAAAAAAAATTAAAAACATGCAAACAAATAATATCTATGCAAAAACCTCCTTTAGAGAGTATATTTAAATCATTTAAAAGATGTTGCTATGGATTGCAGGAAAAAAAAAAAATCAAGCTAGTTGTAATAACCAGAACCACTATCCCAATGCCCATTCTTTCTTCTTATGTTAGTCTAACTAGTGCTTTAGTTTTTGTATTAAAAAGTTATATTTGAGAAATGTGTAACATAAAAACTGAAGCAGCACTCCAAAGTTAGGAAGTACTGCAGAATACGACATACCTACAAAGATAAACTGCCTCCTATGTAAAGACTTTATGTCACAACAAAAAAATTGTAGAACTTCATAACACCAAAAAGAGAAACTAATTAAAAATAAAGTTCTGCAATCAATGGCTTGGTTAGTATTGGGACAATGTCTAAAAGGAATTACTTAGTGGCTAAACTGTTGTGATACAACTTCCTATCACCTCCTCCATTTTTTACAGCTTTAATGCAGTATAGTTTACATACCATAACATTTATCCACTATAAATACACAAGTCCATAGTTCTCAGTAAATTTGCAGAGTTTTGCATTCATCATCACAAAATCCAGTTGTGGAACATTTCCAATATCTTTAAAAAGATCCCTCTTGTCCAGTTGCAGTCAATTCCTGTTACCAAACCCAAGCAACCACTAATCTACTCCCCTTACCCCTTTCTCTTCTTATATTATCTACTTGAAGTATTAAAAAGTATAGATTTCTGGCCCTTTATCACATTCTCTCTTACTGCTGGTTAGTGGGCTTCAGCACCCTGAAAACATAATCATTGGAACCATAAAATGAGTAAAAACGCCTGTTAGTTTTCATCTTCAAAATACATGAAACAGAAAGAAGCCTGGCCCCCGTTTTAGGTTTCAACATTTTTAATAATTTTCAGTGATGGGCATTAAAAATGCAAATTTAGAAAAATCTATTATTACAAATGTGAATGAATTAGCTCCAAAAAGTCACATTTTCTTCCCCTCCAGAAAATGGTATAATTTAATTTTTTTTATTAATAGACCAAAAGAACTCAAATATTTTTGTTGCACTTGGCATTTAAGTAAAATATAAATGAATTCTATTTGTTGAATTGCCAGTTAATAAATCCCTAGTTCGCCAAATGGCCAAAATTAGGCCCAGAATCTGAGCATATAATCTCAAGGTAACCATAAATTGTAAAGAAGTTTCCTGATCAAGCACTCCCTCAGGGTACAAACAATGGGCAAAAATTTCAGCAAAGCTGTGGGCAGGAATGATTAGCCAGTGGGTATACAAATTTTGCAGTGCTCGCCTGCCTACTGACTCAACTGATTATTAAGTCGAAAATGCGTTGTGTTGTATTTTATAGTCTCACCCAGAATAACTTTTCACATAATAATTAAAAAATAGAACTTTGTATGAAATGAAACATGGAAGTGAAAAAATAGATCATAATCACAGTGTCTGCGTTAGCTCTCTATAATTAGTAAGCAGAAGCCTGGAAGATACCTGAGTCAGTTCACATTCCAAAGCTGTTCAGCTTTTCACATACAATGCAGTATAATCATGTATGTATACATGGTGTCCTATTATATAATGTAACAAAAATTCACCTCATAGTATTTTACTCATTTATAATCACTTGTGATGTGTAACTTGCATCCATCAATTTCATACTTCGAATGAAATAGTGAATAAAGAGCATTTGCCTAAAGTCAGCCGTATCTATAAAATCAAATTAACCTTACAAATTCTTGTAATGCAGAGCTGCTGCAACAACCAGAATGAAAAACTTTTCTTAGCTAAAGGAATTCTAGACATGAGCTAGCAGGTGGGGAGTGGAGTTTATGTGGAAGAATTCCTCAAATAACAAGACCAACTCAACTGGTCCTAAAAGTAAATCCTGGTGGTTTACTTTCTTCCACAGAATCTATGGGTGGAGAGACAGGAGATTTTCTAACGTACCACCCCATGCAATGTGCGGCAACAGCCCTAATCCTCTGTCCATTCCCCTAGAGAGGCTGACTGAGAATACTGTAGCAACAGTGACAAGAGTAGCTGGATTAACGGAACACCCCTTTATCATAAGCTTCCTCCAGGACTTAAACTATCCTGCTCTCCTAGTACAGGCCTGCTGGCCAACCCCTAGCCTTCCAATCAGCCTTTAAGTAAGGTCTGACCTACTCCCTCCACATTTCCCCCTTCCCTTCCTGAGCATGATGACGTCTTCTCGCTTATCCCCAGTCTCCCATCCCCATTCTCAAGTACCCAGAAATGTGGTTTATATTTTAGCACTTTTGATGCATGTTAATTCACATTTTAAAATGTCTCAAAGAGTAAATATCTCTTACTTTAGAGGGCACCTTTGTGCCAGGTATATTATTTCTAAATATAAGGTTTCTGACAGAAGTTTATTAGTCACTGTCTGCATATCTGCATTACAGGTGGAACAAATTTACTAACCATGGCTTCATTCTGCTGACACTATCTTCAATGTCCTGCCGAATTTCATAAGTTGATTCTAAGCGGAAGAGGTTAAAGTTCCTTAGTAGGTAGTCATGAAGAGTCAAAAACTGCAAATTCAATTTGGGAAGAGCAAGACAACCTGAAAAGGAAAAAAACATCCATATTTGAATTATTCTTTTTTTTTTTTTGAGACAGAGTTTCGCTCTGTCGCCCAGGCTGGAGTGCAATGGCACAATCTTGTCTCACTGCAACCTCTGCCTCCCAGATTCAAGCCACTCTCTTGCCTCTGGAATAGCTGGGATTACAGGCGTCCACTACCATGTCCGGCTAAATTTTTGTGTTTTTAGTAGAGACAGAGTTTCTCTATGTTGGTCAGGGTGGTCTCGAACTCCTGACCTCGTGATCCGTCCACCTCAGCCTCCCAAAGTGAGGCCACTGTGCCCGGCCTAAATTATTCTTTTAATGCTCTCTGTATTAAAAAACTGGCACCACAAAACTATAAGAATCTAATGAAAGCCTGAAATGCAGCATATCTGATAACAACTTATTTTTGTTTTCACACAGATGTTAAAACCAGATTAATAAATGTTGGCTATTAAGAATTAGGGGTGAGGGCTGGGCGCGGTGGCTCAAGCATATAATCCCAGCACTTTGGGAGGCCGAGACGGGTGGATCACGAGGTCAGGAGATCGAGACCATCCTGGCTAACACGGTGAAACCCCGTCTCTACTAAATTACAAAAAAATAGCCGGGCGAGGTGGCGGGCCCTGTAGTCCGCTACTCAGGAGGCTTGAGGCGAGAGCTGTGTGTACACCTGGGACGGCAGAGGCGCCGCGGCCCTCGGCTTGCAGTGAGCTGAGATCCGGCCCTGCATCCGCCTGGGCGACAGACGAGCTCCGCTCTCAAAAAAAAAAAAAAAAACAGAATTTAGGGTGAGGCCGAGCACCAGCAGCTCATGCCTTGTAATCGTGGCACTTTTGGGAAGCGAGGCAGGTGGATTCACTCTGAGGTCAGGGTTTGAGGGACAGCCTGGGCCAACACAGTGAACACCGTTTCTACTAAAATACAAAAAATTAGCTGGGTGTCTGGTGGGCACCTGTAATCCAGTTACCAGGGAGCTGAGGGCAGGAGAATCGTTGAACCCAAGAGGCAAAGGTTGCAGTGAGCCAAGATCGCGCCATTGCACTCCAGCCTGGGCAACAAGAGCAAAACTCCATTTCAAAAAAAAAAAAAAAGAATTAGGGTAAAGGATGAGTTTTATTAAGACATGTAATCTGCATCCAGTGATGTGTATGTAAACAGTACTCCTTCAAAGTATTTAAGGATACTTGTACTAATAGTTTCAAGTAGTTTAAAACTTCTTCCCTTATCACCTAATTTATATTTGGCAAATATTGAAGTGAATAATGTTACCATAAATTTAGCGCACAACAAAATTTAGCATGAACACTGAATTATTACGTTACATTGCATAAATCAATCTCTGATGACTATTATTGTGCTCTGAACTTGCCTTCTGGCTAAACTTTAAGGACAAGACATTGTTTGTATGTTATTCTAGACTCCCCCTTCTCTGACTATATAAATAAACAATATTCCTTTCATTATTCTCACTTAACACTATTTCTCTTCGACAATAAGTGACCACTTAGCAGCAATATCAAAAAGGTTTTAAAAAATGCCAAAATACATTTTACTGATAAGTCATAGTCTCATCATTGTTGTCCATACTACCAAAAAATAAAAAATAAACTTAAAGACAACATTGATGAACAAAAATTTAACATTATTTATATTAGTAAACTCTGACTTGTAATCTAATTCAATTTCTTTCGATAGCACATTTTTACTTTAAAAAAATGACAAAATGTCAGCATTTGCAATACTCACTGAATTAACAAATCTAAATGTTAAGTATCAATAGCTACTAGTAGTACAAAAAGAGAGACAAGCAGACAGTATGTGCCTCCTGATGAAAGAACACACCACCACCAAGAATCCTGCCAAGGAGAACCTTAGTCTGATCAAGCCTCTGCACAAAGTGGTACTAATTTGCAAGGAAAATAAAGAACAGAGGAACATGCTGCAATATGCCATGAGTATTCAATCAGGAAAATCTATAGACTGTGGGAACTCTATGATCAAACAACTCAGGTTTTTCAGCAGAAACAAAAAGAAAGAAAGGGATGTATAGAAGGTACCAGTAAAGTAAAAGACATTTTTTAAATGAAACCTTGTAACCACCTTGTCAGCTATCCCAGAATCCTCCCAAGTGCCCTTTCCTGGTTACAGCTTCTTTACCTGAAAGTAACTATTTCCTGACTTTTATAGCAATCACTATCTTGAATTTCTTTATACTTTTATCATCCAGGTGTGCATCCCTAGACATGAGAAAGTAACATATTAACCACTGTAAGAACACAAAAAGATATGAAGACTGCCTATGTTCTGAAATCTAGCACAATATTAGTGCACTGGGTCTATCGGAGTTATGGCTCTAGGATATGTCTTAGAGTAACCATTTTAAGTAAATATACCAATACTTATACTTGTGATGTCTTTAAAACAGTTACATTTCTTCTACTAATGATGCCATTGTTCAAAAAATGTCCTGAAATTTCTTTTGAAATATACCTTCAAAATACATCTGAATGCACTTTTACATATACTCAGTTGTAGCCAATTCTCATCCTCAGAGGATGAGTGAAAAGTGTTTAGATCCAAATCTGGGGAAATAAATGAACAAACTAGGCAATACCATTTTGGATCAACCCTAAGGGTTTACTATCAATAAATGATAACGCCTTTTTTTGGTGATCATTACCTGGCTTTACATAGAATTCAACAGAGTCACTAAAAAAAGCCTTTGAAAAAAGCTCTATCAAACACAGCCTATCACAGTGACACAATGAAAGCTATACTTCAAGCATTATCAGGTCTCCTTGAAAACAGTCTTACGGTCGGGTGCAGTGGTTCACACCTGTAATCCCAGCACTTTGGGAGGCTGAGGTGGGCAGATCGCTTGAGCTCAGGAGTTCGAGACCAGCCTGAGCAACATGGTCAGACCTTGTCTCTACTAAAAATACAAATAATAATAGTAATAATAATAATAATAGCTGGGTGTGGTGGTGCACGCCTGTGGTCTCAAGTACTCAGGAGGCTAAAGTGGGAGGATCACTTGAGCCCAGGAGCAGAGGCTGCAGTGAGCTGAGGTTGCACCACTGCACTCCAGTCTGGGTGACAGAGCAAGACCCTGTCTCATACAAACAAGCAAAAAAACCAAAACAGTCTTAGGGCTTTATAGTCATATTTTTTACAGGGCGATATGTATATAGTTAAATTTAATAAAAACCCTAGTGCCAAAGCATTCAAAATACTAAATCTTTCCTAGCTTCTAAAGTTAACTTGTGGGCACCAGGAAATTTTCCCAAAGTACAGAGTGGACCGAAGTACACTGTCTATAATTCCAATTATAAATGACAAATCTGAAATTATTTCATTGTACAGCTGAATCCATATTTCTTTACCATACCTTCTCCAGAATAGTACTCAGTTGGGACAATATTTTCATCCCATATAATTTTCTCGGTTGGATACAAAGGCATCTGGTTCAATTGCTGAATCTGAGAAATTCGACGTTCATGACGAGATACCTAAAAGAAAGGAAACAAGTTCATGCAGAAGGTTAGAAGCATCTTTTTTCAATAAAAATAATTTATGGAAGAAGTTTCATGCCTATCAGTTATTGTAGCAGTTCAATAAGAGATTTTTTTTTTTTCCTATTTTCTCCATAGATCAAAGATGAGAAACCAACCAATGGTGATGGTCTTTGGAATCAGATAGACCTGAGTTCAAATCCCAGCTCCTCTACTTATGAGTACTGTAAAAGCTGGGCACGTTACTTTAACCTTCCTAACCTTAGTTTCCTTTTCAGTAAAACAGATAAAGTGCCACACATCTCAAGTTTCCAATGAAAATGAAATGAAATATTATGAAATAGTGTCAAAGTCCCTGGTACATGCCAAAAGTTTAAAAACCATGACACTTAGCATTAATCAATTTAAGAAAAAATAGGAGCTCTAGGTCTTGGACTATAGTTTTCATTCTTTTTTTTTTTTGAGACGGAGTCTCGCTCTGTCGCCCAGGCTGGAGTGCAGTGGCCGGATCTCAGCTCACTGCAAGCTCCACCTCCCGGGTTTATGCCATTCTCCTGCCTCAGCCTCCCGAGTAGCTGGGACTACAGGAGCCCGCCACCACGACTGGCTAGTTTTTTTATATTTTTTTAGTAGAGACAGGGTTTCGCCGTGTTAGCCAGGATGGTCTCGATCTCCTGACCTCATGATCTGCCCGTCTCGGCCTCCCAAAGTGATGGGATTATATGCTTGAGCCACCACGCCCGGCCTAATTTTCATTCTTATACTAACTAGCTATACCATCTAGGGAAGTTTATTAATCTATCACCCTAGTCTTCTCCCTCTATGTTCCTTTCCATGATGACCTCTAGGTACCCTTAATATTAATAATCTATGTCAAATATGAAAGTAAGTGTTACGCCGAGAGAAGCAGCTCATGCCTTTAATCCCAGCACTTTGGGAGGCTAAAGCAGGCAGATCACCTAAGGTGAGGAGTTCGAGACTAGCCTGACCAACACGGTGAAACCCCGCCTTTACTAAAAATACAAAAATTAGCTGGGCGTGGTGGTGCACTTCTGTAATCCTAGCTACTCAGGAGGCTGAGGCAAGAGAATTGCTTGAACCCGGGAGGCAGAGGTTGCAGTGAAACAAGATCACGCCATTGCACTCCAGCCTGGGGGACAAAAGAAAAAAAAAAGAAAAAGAAAAAGAAGTGTTTATCTAGTGATGCTAAAATGACATATTCTTAAAATGTATCACATTCTCTTCAGTGAAGATAGTATAATTATAGAAAAAAACCATGATAGCTAAACAATATGTATGTTTCAACTTTTTAATCATAAATTGAATATTAGAAGAATCCGAAGCCTGAGGAAATCCTTTAGGAAAGGGAGGAAACAAAACATAATGTTGTCACACTATACATTTTAAAAATTATTTTCTTGGCCGGGCGCGGTGGCTCAAGCCTGTAATCCCAGCACTTTGGGAGGCCGAGACGGGCGGATCACGAGGTCAGGAGATCGAGA